TGTCTCTCTCCGGTGAGCATATATGCCCTCTAGCAAAGTTAAAAATAATAAAAAGTAAAATTAAGCAAATAATTTGTTTTTAAAAAGAATAGAATTAACATTCTATTTAAAATAGAACATAAAATTGATTCAAATTACATTGAAGCTTAAAAAAACCAAATGAAAACAGCACAGCCAGGATAGTACCGACAGCGCCTCTGCCTGGGAGGCTGGAAGCTGCTTGGGAAGCCTGGGTTTGGTTCCCAGCCTAAACATGCCAGGCACGCCCATGCATCTGTAATCCTCCCTGACAGAAATACCTATCCTTTTTGCTCCTCCCTCTTCTGTCTCTCCCGCTCCTCTAATAAAGGGGAAAAAAAATAATGAAACAGAAGCTAGTTACAAAAAAATAAATTTTTTAACTCTAGATTTATTTATTTTTTTTAGAATTACTTAACTTTACTTATTATTATTACCATTGTTTTTAAATTTGCTATAGGGCATGTGTGCTCACCAGACAGAGACAAACAGAAAGGAAGAGAGAGAGAGCTGAGATAGTGAGGATGCGGGCTGCCAGGTCTGGAACTCGAACCGCAGTTGGCCTGTGGGAGCCCAGCGCCTTAGCACCTGGCCCCTCTAGATTTATTTATAAAGTACAGGTTGAACGTTCCTCATCTAAAAAGGCTGAAATCCAAAATGCTCCAAAATTGGCAATTTTTCTTTTTTTTTTTTTGGAAAGGTTTTCACTATAGGGCGCGTGTGCTCGCCAGACAGAGACAGACATAGAGACAGAAAGCAAGAAATCACCCCCCAGAGGGGATGGCCACGCCTCCATTCTCCTCTCGGGATCTTGGGCACGCACACACACGTGCCCGGCGTGAGTTCTAAGTCACCGGGTCCAGGACGCGAACCGCAGTCGACTACGTGGGAGTCCAGCGACATAGCCATTACGCTAACTGCTGGTTCTCCAAAACTGGCAATTTTTTGAGCACTGATGGGACAACACAAGTAGAAAATTCCCCACATACCCTCAAGTGACAGGTTGTGGTGAAAACAATGCAATGGACAAAACACTGTATAAAACTATCTTCAGGCTATATGTATAAGGGGTAAATGAAACAAATAAACTTCACGTTTAAATTTAGGTCTCATGGCCAAGATACCACATTATGTACATAGCCATATTCTCAAATCTTAAAAAAAAAAATCTGAAATACTTCTGGTCTCAAGCATTTCAGATCAAGGACACTCAACCTATATTGTTACTGGAACAATACACATAATATTTTTAACCACACGATTATAAAATAAATGTCTCTATACAATCCCTACCACTATTCATGAATAGTAGTAGGTCAAATATTTTTCTATCTTTACAGTCTAACATACCAAGGAAACCAAAGATAAAGATTTCATTAAGAATTTCTAGTAATAATCTTAAAGCTAGGAGCAGCGGCACATGCCTGTAACCCCAGCAACTTGGGAGAGAGGCAGGAAGATCCCACCAAGTTCAAGAATGGACTGAAAAACAGAGAGAGACATTGTTTCTAAACAAAACACCACCAAACAAAAATTTCAACAATAATTTTTAAAAACAAGTCAAAAATGTAAAATCTGGGGCTGGCTTTGTGACACCACACTAATGTGCTACTAAAGAGAAGCTGGACCCCACATGGCAACCCTGGTGTGAATCCTGACCCAGTCGGCCTGAAACATACAACGCACACAGGTGAGTGCCAGGATCCGATGGGCTACAGAACTGATGGAAGGAGACTACAGCTTTGTCACACCCTGGAGGGTGTTCCCATCTCTCTCTCTCTCTCTTCCTCTCCTCCCGTTCTTATGTGTGTTTGCACGCCCTCTATCATGAAAACAAAAAAAGGGGGGTGGGGGGAGGAACCTGACAAGTTTATAACAGCTCTGTGTAGAAACCATTAAGAATCTGGTAATTTGTTTTTAAATTTGTTTTTGCCTTTGTTTTTAATTTGCTAGAGGGCACATGGCTCATCAGAGACAGAGAGTGAGAGAGAGAGACACACAGACACAGAGAGAGAGAAAGTGAGAAAGCACTCTTCCCCAGGAGGATGACCATGCCACAATTTCTCCTCCATTCTCCTCTTGAGATTTCGGGCACGCATGCGTAAGTGTCCAGTGTGTTTTTCAAGCTGCTGGGTCTGGACCATCAAATCATGCAGTTGGCCATGAGGGATCCAGCACTCTTAACTATCAGAGCAACACTGGTAGGCCCAGCTTGGTAATGTTTTTCAACTTCCTTCTAATAAAAGAATATTTATTTGTAAAATAGAGAAAGGTACTTTTAATTGAAAGGTACTTTTCTATCTTGGTAAAAGATGACCATTTAGAAACTGATTTCCCAATTTCAGTTACACATCTCAAGAGCTGATTCCTCTATGAAGGCCCCATTCCCCACCTGATACTCAACTGTAAATTACACAGGTCTTCAACCTTCTTTAGAGAAAGGGCAGGTTTTAGAAGCTGAAGAGAGACGCACTAAGATCACCCAACAGTGCCGTAACTGACCAGGTAAAAAGCATCCGATGGTGAGGTAAACAGCATGGCATCACTGTGCAAGGAGAGGCCACAGGAGAGGCCTGAGGTCAGTTTCCAGGGCCACAATTTCTCCTCCATTCTCCTCTTGAGATTTCGGGCACGCATGCGTAAGTGTCCAGTGTGTTTTTCAAGCTGCTGGGTCTGGACCATCAAATCATGCAGTTGGCCATGAGGGATCCAGCACTCTTAACTATCAGAGCAACACTGGTAGGCCCAGCTTGGTAATGTTTTTCAACTTCCTTCTAATAAAAGAATATTTATTTGTAAAATAGAGAAAGGTACTTTTAATTGAAAGGTACTTTTCTATCTTGGTAAAAGATGACCATTTAGAAACTGATTTCCCAATTTCAGTTACACATCTCAAGAGCTGATTCCTCTATGAAGGCCCCATTCCCCACCTGATACTCAACTGTAAATTACACAGGTCTTCAACCTTCTTTAGAGAAAGGGCAGGTTTTAGAAGCTGAAGAGAGACGCACTAAGATCACCCAACAGTGCCGTAACTGACCAGGTAAAAAGCATCCGATGGTGAGGTAAACAGCATGGCATCACTGTGCAAGGAGAGGCCACAGGAGAGGCCTGAGGTCAGTTTCCAGGTCAGCCCAACCAGGCCAGGGTGGTAGTGCCACTTGAAATCCTGGGGCAGAGGATCATGGCAGGGCAAGATCCTGACAAAAATAACTTTCTCATCTTCTTTCTCATTAAAAAACAGACAAACAAACAAAGAAAAAAGCAGTATAGGAAACTGCCAGTTTCATTCCGTCTCATAGAAGCACTGTAACATGCAATGGATTGATAAGTTACTGAGCTAATAAATGACAATGGGTAGCATGATGGTTGAGGTGTCTAGGCCCCACACAGTCAACTATGCAGTTCAAGTCCCAGACCTAGAGGCTTCAAAAATGTCTGGGCATTTATGCGTGCATGCCCAAAATCCTGGGAGGAGAATGGAGAAGGGATTGCAGCATGGTCATCTCCAAGAGGGACACTTTCTCACTTTCCCTTCCTCCCTCTCTTTGGTGAGCACACATGCCCCGTAGCAAATTAAAATTACCAAATAATAATAATAATAACAATAAATATATATACATACATATAATTTTTAGGGTACTTTACTATATACATACACACACACACAACATACTTACATATATGGAAATCAGAATGTTGTTGCTGGAGAGGAGACAATTTCCTATTAGTGTTTCTCTAACACTTCAATAGGAAAAAAGAAAAAAGCTTGTTTGATGAAAATTAATATAGTAGATAACTACCTATGCTTATCACTTTTTAAAACTACCTCATGG